TATATATATATATATATTTTTATATAGGTGTAAATATAAATGTTTTTACTAACCGGCGTCTATTTTATTTATTAAGATATTATAGGAATATTATAAGGTTTGATGTGTTGGTCCTTAAAGATATTAATGAGAGTTTATTATTACATTCTTTGCTTCATCATTTCTCGTACAACTGGATAAATAGCACAAGGCAAGTATGGGTCGATGTAAGCAGATATTCTGCTTTCTCACGTTCAACTCGTACAAAACGAAACGTCATCCGCCTTCATCTTTGTGTTGACTGCATCAAACATGATTTGTGCGATTAAATAGCAAATACCCTCTTCCTCTCCAGATAGCGTTAAGTTTTATATCGATGCACTGGCGCATAGTTATATATTTTTTGCATATCAGAGTCACAGTTACTTTCAAAACCATGATCAGAATATAAAAAGAAATACTTTATATATAAAAGCGTGTTTGTTACAAAACTATTTATTTTATAATTAGTAGAATGAATGCAAACACATATCTTTTTGTATATGCAAAAGTACGAATTCACATGGGACTTATGAAATGATATTAGATTGCACTACTTATACACAACCCTGCTATCCTTATGCGTCCAGTTGTACTAATGCGATATTCTTTTATTTCTTCGCATACTTTATGCAGTGGATTCAGTTAATCTGATTTAGCTGCTTGCTTGCACTTTCTATTCATAGTAATATGTTCCATGCCAGCATCTGAGAGGGGAAAGGGAGGTAATAGAAAACATGTATCTTTGCTTGTATACTTTTTTTCGTTGGTAGTAACAAATTTATAGGTAATTTTTACTTTTTTTGGACTAAATCTATGCTAAAATTAAGTTTAAATAATTGTTAAAATAACTGTACACGTAATCGTGTTATTACTTAATTATAAGATATAATTTTAATTATATATATACACACATTATTTGTTATAAATGGCTTCTGCTTATTGTTACAATGTGCAGCATGAGGCATTGTAAGCTTCGAAACATCATATATATATAAACATTATTTTTTATTAATAGTACTCATTTAAACACATATTATTTAAAGATTACTTCACGTTACGTCTACGTTTTTGAAATTTTTCATTATTGTAGTTATTGTATCGTTAATTAATCCTCTGATGCACTATTAAAATTTTATCTTATTTATAAATTGCATACAATATTAAATTGGCTATAAGTACAGATTGAAATAAAAATCTTAATTAGAGTATATAGTGTTAAAATTATATATATAATCAGACATGTCTGTTCTAGTTCTTAAAAGTGTATCAGGTGATTAATGTAATATATAGCACATTTTTCTAAATGTACATCAACCCTCCAACATAGGTCTCTGTGGAAATTGGATAGAAATCGCCTATGGGACGAAGTCCGGTAGTGTCAGAGTAATCGTTCAGCATCCCGAAACAGTTGGCCACGGTCCGCAGCTATTCCAAACCTTTACAGTGCATCAAAGCAGCGTAACCAAAGTACGTTCAGCATCAATAGAATATTGTATATTAAATTACAATATTGCATTAAAAATTAACTTATATGCAAAAATTATATTACAGGTAACACTCTCAGAAAAATATTTAGTATCGGTTTGCTCGGAATATAATCACGTCAGAAGTTGGGCGGTGACCAGATTCCGCGGAATGATTTCGACTCAACCGGGATCAACGCCAGAGGCAAGCTTCAAAATTGTTTCTTTGGAAGCAATTGACTCATGCGTTAGCTACAATGCCGGCAACGATTTCGGTATGTTGTAATATATTGCAGCTTTTAAACTGTTACTATTCTTTCTGCAATTTAAAATTATTTTAAAATAATATATTTTATATATGTATATTCTTTTTGTATATGTATACTTTAACACGTTTTTATTTTTATCAAATATCTTTCAAAATGCGAAGTTTTATCTTTTTGGTTTATTTAATACATCATAAATAAAATATTCATAGGACCATTCGGCGAACAAGATGACGAGCAGGTATTCGTACAAAAAGTTGTACCTGAAACTGATCAGTTGTTTGTGCGATTAGCGTCAAATGGAAAAAGAGTTTGCGTAATACAGTCAGTGGACGGCAGCATCATAAGCTCATTCTATGTGCACGAGTGTGAAGGTTCTAGTCGTATGGGTTCAAGGCCCAGACGTTTCATATTCACTGGTCATTCTAACGGCACCATTCAAATGTGGGATCTCACAACGGCATTGGATCCGTCTTTCAATGCCACTCGAGGTACGTTACTCTCTCCCGTTGTATGACGTAACGGAATCGGTGAGCATGACTCACATACATGAAATATTGTAGGAAGTAAAGAATTAACATAAATCGTATATTTAAGAAAAGTTCTATAAGAAGTAAAAAGTTATATTTATTCTGTATTTATTCTATATTATTCTATATTTTATTTGTTTTCTACTTTATTTATTCTGTAATAAAATTTATTTTTTTATTATTCGAATTATATTTTAAGGAGGAAAAAATGATCTTTATATAAATTATTGTAATTACTTTTTATGATAAATATTAATTTTATATTAATTTTCTACGAGACTTTTTGTGATTAATTTCGTCGATTCAGTTAAAATGTATTGTCAGATTTTTATTATCTTTGTATCTTTTTACAACAGATACCTCCGGTGGACCTACGCCAGAGGAACTTTGGAAGTTATTGGATCAATGTGATCTAAGCAACAGCCACTGCTCAACGCCTTGCATTAGTCCGTCTCCTTCGTTGCTCGCAGCTGGACCTAGAATTAAGTCAAGCAACGTATTGTTTCTCAATCAATCGCAAAATCCAGAACCAACACCTGGACCAAGTCAAACGTAAGAATGTGTCTGATGCAAGGTATGTCGTGCCAAAGTGCACACAAACAGAATCTGCATTTATTTAAATTATTTATTTATTATAAACCATCAAAACATCTGTAGCTATTATAGTTCCTAAATTGCCTTTGCATTTTCAACGTAATGAGACCGAAGTTCGCTGTCTACTTAAACAGTGAAATTTAAAAATAACAGCAAAGGACATAACTGCATTTATAAACTCTATAGCCATTATTGTTGAAATCATTATTTTAATAAGGAATTTGATCTTGTGCGTAAATACGTTTATATGTGACTGTTTATTGAATTATTTTTATGAAAGTTCGATAATATCATTATCGCTTTTGAACATACGCAAGAATATTGTTGTTAATATCGACATAATAAAATTTTTCTAAAATTTACTGTTTAAAAAATTCTATAAATGTCTATTGATGTCTAAAAATTCATAATTATGTTTTACTTGCTATTTATTGTTATTTGTTTTATTACAAAATGGCTATTAAGAGGAATCGATTTTATAATATTGATATTATTCGATGTAAACTTTTATATGTTGGCTTGTTTAATAAGATAAGGGAAGGAACAGATATTTGATAAAATCAAGAACTGATAGATATTATAAGTTAAACATTTTGTTCATATATCATGTATATATGTATATTCAGTTATATATTCTGTATCAATGTTATAAAATGAATCAAATAAGAGATGCATAAAATTATGTTATTTGTCACATCATTGTAATATCTCGAAACAAGATTATGAAATAGTTTTGAATTCTGGTAGATTTATATTGTAAATCGATGTCAGCATCATTTTATGTCATTATTATATGTATATCAATTTCTATATACAATATAGAAATCTTGTTTCGAGTATAAAACACTTAACATTATTTCAACATTGTACTATCAACATTTTATTTCCTGAATATTATTTGAGAAATTGATTTTACCACTTATTTCTTAATTAAAGAATGGTATACATTACGTATGCAATTAAAAGATTAAACATATATTCGAAGATCGAATTGTACTCTCATTATATACATAAATACTTACAACTTCACTGCATATATAATGTATACGCGTTCATCATTGTACATATACATATATAAAACTTATAACATTATTGCGCAACCGCGTTACTTCTGTGATTTAAATAAACCATTGGTATGTGTATGGAGATGTATACTGCTTATTGTTTGAATATTATCACTGCCATTGTACATATGGACATCTTATATACACTATACATATAGACTGTTATAAAAGTAGACAATTAGAATAGAAAGATCGTTTTAGAAATGTTCTCAATAGGTTACATTAACTCTGTAATAATCTATATTACAATTTTTGTTTATAAAAATCTTTCTCTGTGTCTGAAAATATCAATAACATTTAACGAATTGTGACTATAAAATAATATAATATTGCAACATGTAAATATGTGCAGCAATTCGTAAATAATAAATAGAGCTGGATTCTTCGCATTTTGGTTTTGCGAACAAATTCATCTAACAGTTGTAACATTCATAATCGCTACTATAAAAGTTTAACTCTCAGGCACTACGGTGATATACGTTGTAACAATGCCGAACTGCACGATTAGTTAAATTATAGATATATGAATATTGTAGTTGTCGAATATATAGTTAAAATTAGTCTAGTAGAGTAATTTTAATCATGCATTATTTTCCGACATATCGGTATTGTACTCTTTGTTAAACATAAATATAAAATATTCCACAATAATGTAAACCGGAAGATCTGTGGAATATTTACGGTAAATTCTGCATAAAAACATTTAACCCTAGTATTTGTTATATCCTAATATTTGTTAGAGATCGGACGTATTTCATATAAAGTGTTTAGTCCAGAATAAATTATTATTAAACAATGATGGATGAGTCATCGGCATCAACAAGTAGCACCAGGCGACCAAGCCGATTACAAACAGACACATCAATCCAGCTCTTTTCAGTGGATCCTTGTATGTTGCTATCTCAGAAAGATCAGGAAATCCCATGTGATTGCAGAATGAATGCGCAGCAAATGGTGCAACAAAATGCCCTAAAAAAATACATGAAATCAAACAGCTTTTTTTTACTAATAATTTTAGAACAAATAAAAAGGTAAAATGATCCCACCTGTCCTCGCAAAAAGAAAGGCCGCGTACGCTCCAAATAACGTTGTGTATGTAGACTGAAAACCTAAATTCGACGTAATTTACTTCAGTTCATTGCACATTATAAGACGTTTTCCATTTAATGACATAAGCATCATTTTTCGTTGGTATTCAGTGAATAATAAAGATAGAACAATATTGTGTTAACTTATGAGGCCAAATAAAAAGCACATCCATAGATTCCAAGTATTCCCCTCAAACTTACAAGATATAAACAATGCATGCTTGATGCTCATTCCCATCTTTACTCTTTCCACTACATGATGAAAATGAGCCACCCCGAAAAATAGAGGACACACGAATATGGCAGTAGTCGGTGTGAAACATTGCAGGAGTAATGGCAACATGCAAGCCCTGAAGGTCCATTCCTCGGATAATGGAGCGACCACCTGATTTCTCCACCAAGTTAAAGTTTGTACGCTTGCCAGCCAATACATGGGTTCTATAACAAATGTATAGCTAATAACTGTTAGACATTTTTATACCAATCACAAATATAGATTAACTTCACACAATCTCAGTTTAATTTACATGTTATCTTTTCCTAATTTTTAAAACTAGAAAAAGAAAGGTAAATTGCAACCGAGATTAAAGTTAATCTACATTAATGGAAATGCACATTAAACTTTTAGATCGATTTTGGATACTAACCAGCGTACAATCGCCACAGCCCATTAAATCCTTGTAAACTCAAGGGACCTAGGAACAGGATCATCGTTAGAAGCAGCGATATCACAGTCGCTTGTACCAGACCTGTCCATCGAAGACCCAGCATCTCCCAGATGGTTGTCTGTTAGGTATAATAAAAATAATTATCTATACAGAGAATAGTCTAAATCGCGTTTAAACGAAAAATACCTTTTGAAATATCTTGTCATTTAGTCCAAAGTACAAGAACGCTGGTGAAACGAAAGTCATGATAAATACGCTAAAAAATCGTTTCTTTATGGTCGATGGGTGCTCTCTGAAACATAAATCATCGAGAGTAAAGTTTCCTATATAAATATAATTGCTCTTATATTACTATCCCTATTATACAACATAATAATGTAACTAATTTAATCTTATAGATAATAAGAAATAAACTAAATAATAATAAAAAAAAATTCAATTTATTACCAATCCTAAAATAATTTTTAAAAATATCATTATCGATAAATTAATTGATTTCTCTTCTTTAAAATAATAAAATATCTGTAAAACTTTATCGTAACGTTAAAGAAATTAGTGAAAAATCAAAATATGAAATTGTTAAAAATAAATATTAAAATATATCAAATTTTATAAAATATGATATCAGATTTGTTTTAATTGCTAGTGATAGAGATTATTAATATTATCTGTGGATTCATAATTATTATAATCTGAAATCATATATTTGCTCAAATGTGTGGCCTGTTTACACTAGAATTACTTTGACTTTTTAAAAATATAAAATTATGTATATTTTATGTATTTATTATATATTTATATATTTATTTGAAAAAATTAAAGACTGAAGAAAAAAAAGTTAAATTATTACATGTTACAACAATCATGGAAAATCTTAAAAGAACCGTTTTAAATTTCAATGATTTTTACAAAATTAATATAAAGCATTTTGGTTACTTTTATATATTGCTAGAACTTGATGAGATTATTTGATAGGATTACTACTTTTGATCACTTGCCAGTTGCTTTATTATATTATTATATAATTATTATAGTTATGGAAATTATGTTTAATTGCACAAATAGCTTCTTTCATACTAGGACTGCTTTAATATTTTTAAAAAATATACCATGTATTTATATATTTGAAAAAATTATGATTAAAAAATTAATTTAATTATTATTCATTATTACATCCAACAAAAATGGAAATATGTTATAAATTTGAGTAATTTTTATACAAAGTTATAACGCACTTTAACTTCGATAAAAAATTAGTTAATGTCATAGATTCAAATATCGCGCTGAAGGAACGCCATTAATTGTGTGCGATCTAGATGGCGCACTCGATGTCTCCTCCATCGCGTGACGTCCTCTGGAATTTCGTTTCACCGTACGGCGCTAGCTGCCGCTTGTCCAGAAAATTCCAGGAGCGGCGCCGCGACAGGGAGCGCCACCACGTGCGGACAATTGCGTGCGTCAGTCACAGCATCTATCCGGTTGGTGTGGGACGGTTCGCGTTCGCGAGCGGTTTACAGAACAGACGAGTGTGCTCCGACAAAACGGAGGCGCGAGCCTCCTCCACGCGAGGAGTCTCGCTGGATGGACGTTTGAAGGAGAGAGAAGAGAGGAAGAAACGCGAGGGGTGGACAACCCGTTGACATCGAGAGTGTGCGGTGATCGCGACGCCGCCGTCGCCGCGTTACCGCAACGTACCTGTTGTGCGGCGAACTCCAGACATACAGGCTCGCCACGTAGACGATCGAGAGCGCGAAGCACGCGAGGATCGCCGAGGCGCAGTTCGGCGAATTATCGGTACTTGGTTCCACGGCCTCCATAACTCCATAACCGATGTCGGTCGCCTGTGTCGCGCTCCACTGCGGAAGGGGGGCTCGGTAATAAGCCCCGTGGCGTTAGCGGAGATCGCGGGGACGAGAGAGAGAAGGAAAGAGAAGAGAGATAGAGGCGCCGCAGCGGTAGAGGGTTGGAGACGGTAGGACGGTGCGAGTTGAATGGGGGGTGGGGGGTGGATGACGGCACGCACTCGCGGGGCAGAAACTTGTCCGATTGGCGGCTGCCCTCTGGGCCAGTCGGCGAGCAGAGACCAAGAAGATGGCCGCCGTGTAATGTCGCTATTGTGTAGTGCATCCTAAGGCTTTTGGCAGCTTCTGCCGTGGGCGTCCGCCGCGCCGAACACGGTACCACGGCGGCTGCCCCACTGCCGGGGAAGGGTACCGCCGGATCTCGCGCATCGACCTCGTAGTGCGACGAGTCGCACACAGAAGCGGAACAAGAGAGACAGACGGCGACGGACGAGGAGGTGGAGGAGGACAACGACGGCAACGAGGACGGACACGAGGAGGACGACCGCCGAGGGCCGCCGACGACACGAAGATGCCGAGCGCGTCGTTTTCGTCGTCGCGCAGCTACGTGCGGAGGTCGCGTCGGAAAAACGGAAACAGGATCCCCTTGCCGAGAACGGGTAAGCCGAGTGAGCGAGCGAGCGAGCGAGCGCAACGGAGAAGGAGCGAGTGAACGAACGAGTGAGCGAGCGAGAGCGAGATGAGACGAGACAAAGACGGCTTTTCCGTGCTGTCGGAGCTGTCTCTCGGACCAGCACTCTCTCGTTCGCTCCGTCGAGATCCTCGGGGGTGCCCGCGATCGGGTCGCTGACGATCCCCGAGGGCCTCCGCCATCTCCACGCCTTTGTTCCCTGGACTACGTATGTACACGCGGGGGCACGCGCCGCGTTTCCTGCTCGCCCTCGCTTCGATATCCACCCATTTCTCCACGGCTTCTTTCTCCTCGGCCTCGCTCTTCTACCTTCCCACGATTCTCTCTCTCTCTCTCTCTCTCTCTCTCTCTCTCTCTCTCTCTCTCTTTCTTTCTCTATTTCTCGGTCTTTCCTTTCGTCTCCCGAAACCCCGCTAGGAATGGCAGATTTTGGAAAGGCATTAAAAGAGGTGATATCTCAAATTGTTTCCAGTGAAAAGGGTTTGCTTTCGGAACTAAATTTAGTGTTGTAAGTTGGATATATAGGGGGACGCAATCTGTTCTAAATATTCACAGACTGCTGCATGCATCTCTCGTGTTCAGCTGCTCCGATTATCTCTACGCGTTTGCAGCTGAGGTTAGGTAGCGTAGAATGTGCGCAATGATAAAACTGTCAATCGGAGTACTCGCCACTCGGTCGCAGCTGCAACACGACAAAGGAACAACGGTAGTTAACATCAGATGATAGTCGCGTGTTTGACAGTTAAACGTCAAGTTTGCGCGACGCTGTCAATCTCATGCCCCGATCATTCGTGTGCTCCGGAATTTGCGCTCCCCCTTCCTGCTCCCCCCCCCCTCTCTCCCCCGTCGCCCTTGTCTGTATGCGAATTGCTTTTCGGATTTACGAGCAATTTCCGATTGGCAGCTACTAACGGCCATATTGCTTTTCGGTATTTGTGAATAATTTCTGATTGGCGGCTGCGCGTCCACGGGAACGCGATACAGTTCGTGGACCGAGAGAAGGTTGCAACACTTTCTTTTTTCTCTTCTTTTTCCTGCCGAGTCGCGAAACGCAGCGTCTCTCTTGCCGTCGCGCTGCCGTCCGGGTAAACAATGGTGAACGAACGACTGATCGAATCGCGCCGGATACTGTCAACCGCCTTTGAATGAGCGCGAATCGGCGAATTCGTAAAATCGCAGATATCGTAAAATTGCAAATTCGAAGGTGCGAAACGAGGACGAGAGGAAGCGTACTCCGTCGTCGACGGGAAACGGTGGGTGATCACCGTTGCAATAATATGTAGGCCCGAAGTATCTCCAGGCTATAATATAATAAGGGTTGAACGACCCCACGGTAAATCGAGGGTACGCGACCCTTATTTGTAACGCAATATTGCGACGGAGTAGAGTCGCCCGTTCCGTTGGAGAACGTTTGCTTTTGTGTGCCTCGTGCAGAAACGGTACCATACGTCCTACAGGCCGATCGTATCGATTCGCGATCTCCACTTCGCGATCAATCCGCCGGAATGTTGGCTCTGTAGTCGCCCTCTCTCTCCCCGCGTTCTTTTTCTCCTTTTTTTCCTTCTCTTTCTCCTCGTTCTCTCTCTCTCCCTCTCCCCTCGTTTCCGAATCGCCAGCGATCCAGCTGGAACGCGGCGCAGCTTGCGAGATGCACGTCGCGATCGGTGCCGAATTTTCCGGTCCGAGAGAGAGGGAGAACGGTCGAGAATGAACGGATAGAGGAGGAGAGTAAAAGCGAGAGAACAGACAGAGGCAAAATGGGAGGACGAGTGAGCGAATATTCTTGGGATCATTGAAGCTGTGACGTCCAAATATTCGGAGAGGTTCGGTTGTCGTTTAGTGTGATTATTGGCACGCAAGATGATACTTGAAATTCTTATTGTTGGAAAGGCGAAAAATATATATATTGAAAATGATGTTGAAAATTGATTAATTTTTACAGAATGGGAAAGCCATTAACAATAAGTGGGGGATTGAAGTAGTATCATATTTCAAAGCGAGAAATACAATGAAATATAATGAATTATAATAAAACTTGAGGAAAAGCTGTAAGATTCTAAAAATAGACCTCTGCACTCTACAGAATGCTCTACACTGAGAAAAATTTCTGTTAGAAAATGAATGAACTGAAAAATTCCGATCACATCACTCAGAATTTTGATTAGAATTATAATATAAACTCAACTAGAATTATAATGTATTCAAAAAATTTTGACTTGTTTATTTTCAACCAGAATTCCAATTAATGCCACCAGATTCTTTTTCTAATGTAATTAAGCTCGGAAAGATATTTTCTATTTAAGCTCAAATGTAATTAAATAACATAAAGATTGATATTGCTGATATCCAGATAGTAGGACATTTATATTTGCTAAGTGATAGATAAAAATAAAAATGATGTCATCTGATAAAATCTTGCATTGAAAAAAATGTTTGATTGAATCAATTGAAATTCTGGTTGAAAGTGAACGATTCAGAATTTTTTCTGGTTAAATCTACTAAATTCTAATTGTGCGTGTGTGTGTATTTAAGGTTTAAATAACTGAAATTCTGATTGATATAATCAGAATCTTTTGATTCATCTATTTTTAACTAAACATTTTTCTCAATGTGATTTAACAGATGCTCGAGAATCTTTAACGATCATTGGAGTTACATCGCCTACGGTTTGTCGAAAGACAAGATACTTATAGGGGCTTTTTTGCAGGAGAGGAAAAAGAGTGAAGGAGAAGGAGAGAGAGAGAGAGAGAGAAGGACTCAATGTCTGTTACGCGGTATCGATGCGTTTTGAGTGACGAATTACCGGTGCTCCACTTTCGCGAGAGGACTCGGCGTGACCCGGAAACGTGATCGAGAGTATACCCGGCCCCCAGAAATCGGCGTGTCTCGGTAGATCTCACAGAGCAGCGCCCTCCCGTGTGCTGCGTGTATCCGCCGCGTGTGCCAGCAACCAACTAGAAAGTGAAACGTCAAGGCGCTGTTTACGGAACGGAACCGAATGAAGCCATGCGCGATGACGATTCGATGTTCGTTGAGTACGCGATAACGATTCGACGATGAATGGAGATACAGTCGTAGTGTCGGGTCTTTACCATCAATGGACGAAGTTGACAGAAGTCCATTGATGATAAAGTACCTTGGTGCAAGTCTCTGTCTTGCGATAACAGAGATCGGTTGATAGACGAAAGAGTATCATGCGTACTCACGCGTTTTGTAGTAATCGTACACTGAAAACAGAGTGGAGTGATAATAGTTACCAAATGTATAGTGAAATAACGCCAATCAAATGTTCGATTAATATAACCAAAAATACTTTTACAAATATTTAATAAGTATTACCAAACTGTTATCATCTGGTAATACTAAATATTTGTAAAAGTAACATTATTTTCGGTTATATTAACCAAACATTTGATTGACATTATTTCACCATACATTCAATAGCTATTATCAGACTGTTTTTTCAGTATTGACGTGTTAGGAAACATGCAACAATACACAGCGGTGTATCAATAATTTATTGCACAATACACTCTTAACTTTGCGATATGTTCAATGCATGCACAGCTGAAAATTGGTGTTAAATTTAACACATTTTGCGTGTTCCAAACGATCCACTGAAATGTTTGTGTTAATTTAATACAAAATGAATATAATAGAAAATAACACAAATATTATGTTAAAAGATTAATAAAGAAGATAAAATTGATAATTTGTGAGCAAAAAAAAACTGTAGAAGCTATTAATTCCAATAAAATTAACTTTTAAAGTCATATTTTAATGTTAATATTTTACTTATAAATTGCATTACTTTGAAATATTGAATATGAAATTGTATTACTAAAAAATGTTGAATATCGATTTAACACAAATTATTTTAAAAACATAATTACATGATTAAATATTAATACTTGAATATATTAATAATTCAACACCAAATTTTAATTTGAGTGGATCATTTTCAACACAAATATGAAATACTTTTTACTATGTAGTGTAAGAGAGTTATATTATTATCATCATACTTATTTATGCCATAGTTTAACGTTAAAAAATTGAACCAGCAAACTCGTGTGGGCCATTTTCATTGTTCATGATTTCGTCATTGATGTGCAATTGGATTTGCATAATGTCATCAATTACATGGAAATACATGTAATCGCAACGTTGTTTTTTTATTAACAGATTATCCATGCGGGCTTGCGACATTATACACTTGATAATTTATGCCATAGCATTTGTAAAACAAGGTCACTTTGTATCACCATGCAAATTTCTCTAATGGTCTCTGGCTTACTATAAATTACGTGGCAGATAGCAAATGTTTGCACATGCAGTTACAAATGCTTTTTGTTTATATTATATATGATATATAATATGATAATTATTATGATATACAAGGGTGTAACGTTATACATGCTTATTTATGTTCGCGTAGAGAGAATGATTAAAAAGAGAGAGAGAGAGAGAGACTGCTTTCTATGCTTCCCTCAAATTCTAGAAATGTACAAAAATAGAAACTTAAAACGGTCTCTTTCTTTTTAAGGAACTTTGGTAGATTATCTCCTTTGAGATTTTCGGAAGAAATATTCACTTCTATCTCTTTTTGTTTTCCTTTCTTCTAACGATTACGTTCTATGTTCTCAGCCGAGCCATGCGATCTACCATGTCCAACGGCCAATCAGATCATTCCAGTAGTAGTTGGCGGTGGAGGCGGAGGAAGTGGTGCACGAGGCTCGTCCCCTAGTGTATCCGGAGTTGCTGCTCCGTCACCGTTACCTCAATCGCACTCATCGCCATATGATCTGAGACGTAAAAGTCCACCGCATCCTGATCCAGCGCCTGGCACGAGTTCCGCCCTTCCGCCATCGGGTGGCATTGCTGCTACTTTCGGTTCATCGTCCTTACCGGCGAGGAAGCGACCAAGACGAACATGTTCGTTGTCGACAGATGGTACGTTTCAAGGCGATTATCGACTTTCGAAGAATAGAAATTGTTCTATATGTTGAAAGACAAAAGATTAATCTTTATAAGGTAGGAAAGTAACGCTGAAACAGTGTCATATTTTGAAGGAAAAAATACAAAATAATTAATTATAATAAATTTTACTTGAATAGCTGTAAGATTTTAAAAACAAACCTCCGTCCTCTAAAGATTAACACATAATGGTGGTCATAAATATTATTATGCAGCATGATATATTTATATGCAACACAAAAGTCTTAATAGCTTACCTAACTATGCGCTCATTTCTTAACACGGATCATGGATCTTTAGAAATTCAACTCTGAGTTTATTAGATTCCAATCAATTCAACTAACTTTTATTTTTTACAGGTATAAATACAAACACGGCAGCACATTATCTCCAGTATGAATTGCCTGATGAAGTACTACTCACAATATTTAATTATCTAATGGAGCAAGATCTATGTCGTGTATCGCAAGTCTGCAAGCGATTCCAAGTAATTGCGAACGATACGGAATTATGGAAATCTCTATACCAACAGGTCTACGAGTACGACTTGCCGTTGTTTAATCCAGGGCCATGTAAATTCGAATTCGTCTCACCGGACGAAACTGAGTATCAGAATCCCTGGAAGGAAAGTTTTAGGCAGCTATACAGGGGTGTGCACGTGCGGCCTGGTTTTCAAGACTTAAAGTTTAAGGGCCGTAATCTGCCGTATTTTAACACAGTTCAGGGTGCGTTGGACTACGTCGACGAGTACAGGAGTAACAGCGCCTCGGCAAACAGCGGTACTACAACTGGCGGCCAAGGTTGTTGCAATAGCACTTCACAAACAAGCGGAGAGGATACATCGACGCAGCATTTAGTCTTTTTACACGCTGGCACATATAGAGGCGAATTTCTTGTGATTGACAGCGATGTAGCATTGATTGGTGCAGCGCCAGGAAATGTTGCGGAATCCGTTATTCTGGAGCGAGAAAGCGAATCAACGGTTATGTTTGTGGAAGGTGCAAAACGCGCTTACGCCGGGCATCTCACATTGAAATTCACACCCGACGTCACGAGTACAGTGCCCCATCATAAACACTATTGTTTAGAAGTAGGCGAAAATTGCAGTCCTACTGTTGATCATTGCATCATCAGAAGCTCGAGTGTTGGTAAGTGTGCAGTTAATACCTTTATAAATTGAATATACGATTGAAAATATTTCAATAAAAATTTAGAACTTAAGTTTGAAATTATCTCCATATAGAAAAATAAATAATATCCACATTTCTACTAATGTAGATTAACTTTAATCTCTGTTTAATTTATTCTTTAGCTTTTTCTAATTCGTAGAATTAAAAAAAGAAAAGGACCAAAATTAGAATTAATTTATGTTGGTAAACGGACATAGATCTTTTATGACTTTATATTAAAATAACTATATATTATATTATAATGTATATATATGTATATATATACATAACATACGCGACTACTAATATTATATATATAACTTTATTTTATTTATATATATAACTTTTAAAAGTAGAAAGCTTTATTTTGAAATCTCATATTTATACTTTATTCAATATACAATATATACATATATAATGTATATGTATAAATAGGCAATTTTATTAAAAATTACGTATTTTTAATCTCTAGTTGGCGCAGCGGTTTGCGTATCGGGTGTAGGTGCCAATCCATTAGTAAAGAACTGCGACATATCAGACTGTGAGAATGTTGGATTGTACGTGACTGACTACGCCCAGGGTACATATGAGGATAATGAGATCTCACGGAATGCCCTTGCTGGCATCTGGGTGAAGAATTACGCGAATCCCATCATGCGACGGAATCACATTCATCACGGCCGCGATGTTGGAATATTTACGTTCGATAATGGGCTTGGATACTTTGAAGCCAACGACATTCATAACAATCGGATAGCAGGTTTTGAAGTAAAAGCTGGTGCTAATCCTACTGTTGTTCATTGCGAGATCCATCATGGCCAGACTGGGGGCATCTATGTACATGAGAACGGTCTTGGACAATTCATCGATAATAAGATTCATTCAAACAATTTTGCTGGAGTATGGATCACGTCGAACTCTAATCCAACTATACGTCGAAATGAAATATACAATGGCCACCAAGGTGGAGTGTATATTTTCGGCGAGGGCAGAGGTTTGATCGAACACAATAACATCTACGGCAACGCACTAGCTGGTATACAAATTAGAACAAACTCGGATCCGATCGTCCGGCATAACAAGATACACCACGGCCAGCACGGCGGCATTTATGTGCACGAAAAAGGCCAAGGCTTAATAGAGGAAAACGAAGTATATGCCAATACCCTGGCAGGCGTATGGATCACAACGGGTTCGACGCCGGTTTTAAGGCGAAATCGAATTCACAGTGGCAAACAGGTCGGCGTATATTTTTACGACAATGGCCACGGGAAATTGGAAGACAATGATATTTTCAATCATTTATATTCAGGAGTACAAATAAGGTAATTTTCACTTTCAAAAGGATTGTAAGTTTGGATGCTTTGATATGTAGCAATAAGAAAATTGGCTGAATGCGTGTTTCTTCTGCAGGACTGGCAGTAATCCGGTCATACGTGGTAATAAGATATGGGGAGGACAAAACGGTGGAGTTTTAGTGTATAATAGTGGCTTAGGCTTACTCGAACAAAATGAGATTTTTGACAATGCAATGGCTGGCGTCTGGATTAAAACAGACAGCAATCCGACTCTTAAAAGAAATAAGATATTCGATGGACGTGACGGCGGAATTTGTATATTTAATGGAGGCAAAGGTAATGTATTTTCTCTTTTTAATTGTGAAATGTTGACTTACATATTTATTAGTCAATGACTTTCCGACCATTGACGAATAATGAATATCATATATTGAGCCACAAAGTTATTTAAAATAATTTATAATTTTGCTTTTGAAAGGAGGATGTTGAAAAAAAGATCGATTTTTGTCCACAAAGATAAGCAAAAGGAATAGCGTTTTTTTTTTTTTATAGATTTTAACCTCTTGAATATGCTAATGTTAATAAAAAATTTGAGATCGATAGGAAACACCTTGAAAATTGAGCATGAATATAATATAACAAATTTTTAATACTTTTTAAGATATTCTCCAAATGCCACGAACTTTTTATTATCATTATTATATTCAAAAGGTTAAAATTTGTAAAAAAAACAAACGTTATTCTTTTTACTTACATTTTTGTAGGCAAAAATCGATGATGAATTTTGAATTCTATGTTTTTATTCAAATTTATGTTAATTAAAGAAAGTTTTAGTGCATGTTAAAATACATTGCACAAGTAATTGAATTTAATTATTCTAACTTAATAATTATTATTTATTAGTGATTTTCTATAGTAATCATCTCTTTGACCGTATAAAATTATTATTATAATGAAAATTAAGCGATCGTAATATGAAGATAATATCCATAATAATAGATAAGATAGAATAAATTATAATATATTTCATTGAAAAAAGTAGACAGAATCATGATTTTTCGCGCTTCTTAATATAGGTATTTTGGAGGAGAATGACATATTTCGCAATGCGCAAGCGGGTGTGCTTATATCGACACAATCGCAGCCGATCCTGAGGAGGAACCGAATTTTCGACGGCTTAGCAGCCGGTGTTGAAATAACTAACAACGCCACTGCTACCCTGGAATTCAATCAAATATTCAATAATCGATTTGGCGGTCTGTGTCTGGCGAGCGGGGTGCAACCGACGACTAGAGGTAAACATTCACTTCTGGTAGTAACTAGTAGTCGGCGCTTTTAATGAAAAAGTATTGCACTCACTTCTTTTTGCTTTTAGGCAATAAAATATTTAATAACCAAGACGCGGTAGAGAAAGCAGTTGGGAACGGCCAATGTTTATACAAAATTTCTTCATACACCTCCTTCCCCATGCACGACTTCTATCGTTGTCAAACGTGTAACACGACGGATCGAAATGCGATATGCGTCAACTGTATAAAAACTTGTCACGCCGGTCACGATGTGGAATTCATCAGACATGATCGGTAAGTTTGCATGCTCGATTCCGTGCATTATTTAGGCGTGCACTCGCTGTAAATAGAGTAATCTCTTAATGTAATCGTGTGCATTAATATTTTTAGATTCTTTTGCGATTGCGGCGCCGGAACATTGAGCAATCAGTGTCAGCTGCAGGGTGAACCTACGCAAGATACAGATACGTTGTACGATAGTGCGGCGCCCATGGAATCACATACACTTATGGTCAACTAGGAACTAACCTAAAATAATTTAAACAATCAAACAATGTTTAGAGTCGTAAGTCCAGTAATATTGCGAGCACGCGCAGTAAAATTAAAATTGCCGAGTTCTTTATTATAATCTTCGGTTTATATCGTTATTATATCATTGTTATACTTTAAAAAAGTTCTATTTATTGCAATCATTTTATTTTTATTGTTAATATATGATATATTACGATATAATGTGAATCACACAACACATATGTATGAACAATATTACTTCAACTGTAATGATATCGTTATATATTTTTCTTTTTTTAATGAAAATCGTCATTATTGTTCTTCGTACATTACTTGCTTTAATTTTTACAAGAATATATTTCATTTTTATATGAATGCTTATCATATCACATTACAGATAATATAATAGATTTTTCTTATGAATTAATAATTTGTAATTTTATCCACAGATTTGAACACGACTTGAGCAATTAATCGAATTGGTTATAACTTTTTTCTCTAAATCTATTAAAATTATGAGAGATGATATGTGAATTTACCTGTATTAGTTTATTGCAAACGTTGTTTCTCTTTGATTAATTCATGTTAAAGATTTTTAAAAGAAATAAAAAATTGTTTTCTTTTCTTTAAAGTCAATAAAGAACTCGGCAATCTAATCGCCAAGAAGGCGATAGTAATAAAATAACAAAGAAAGCCCTCATATGTGTAAAACATACAGTATCGTATTAGGTATATCAAATTAATTTAAATGTGTAAACGAGGGAAACGCTAGGCTAATCGTAAATCGAACTTTTCACGTGACTTTTTATTGAGATTCTACAATCCTTAAAATCTTCATATAACAAGAGAGTGCAGTGCTGTAAAAACGAAAGAAAGAAGGAAGAGAAACATGTGTATACGCCATAATAACACTCGACGCCTCTTAATACGCTCTAATGTACTGCTTAAAAATTTAATAAAAACCGCGATAACGTAGATAAAACGAATATAAGTTCGCACAGTGTGAAACAATGTATCCGGAATGTAAATTGTGTATATCGAACGCGAAGTAGTAATAACGCTGAGAGCGAATAACACATCATATTATCTACTTTTGAGCAGAAACATCAATCTACAATGAAAGAACGTAAAGCATATAGATAAAATTTGCACTCGATTACTAATGAAAGGGGACTTAATCATACCAGTGTATAAAAGGAACGCAAGCAGTGCGCGTCGTTGAGTGCCGCACTTGAAATTATAAAACCGAAAATCTTGAATCTCACTTTACGTAATAACAAAAAAAGAAAATAAAAGTAAAGAACTGTAAACCAACGTCACGACCATTTACATATTATCAAGTGCAACTTCGTTGATCAATGATCTGTCGAATCTATGCGGTACAAAACGAGAGGAGACTGAACGAAGAGGCCGGGAAACCAACAAGACGAAGATTTGCAAGACACACCGGAACGAATGTCTAAAATATGTGATATACAAAACTCACACAGGTGGAATAATCAAAATAAAAATAAACATGCTGCTAATTTTTCGACGTAAACATACCTCGTAATTAACGCGTAACAATTCCATTAATCGCGATGGTGAATTATGTGATGGTCCTAAGTTGCCCCATACGGGCGAAGTGCATAATAAGAATGGGATAAATGTTGAAAACTAAATTTTAAAATCACGAAGGAAAGAGTGAGAAAAAAGAGTGCGTACACGCGGAAATGTACGACGGTGTATACCAGTGAAAAAAAAAACGAAAGAAATGAAAACGGAAGCAGTTAAGCGCTCGAAATAGAAGATGTACTGTCCGAGGAACAGTTTTTAAAAAGTCTCGAATTTTTCAGAGTAATCAGATTTTTTTAATTATTACGTTAGTGAGTAAAAGAAGTCTAATTACCTTATTGTAACATGTAATTTTTCCGGGAGCGGCGCGCGCGCTCCCGTGCGAGGAAAGGAAGCGCCTATTAGCGATATAATTTTAGACCGAAATCACCTTTATTTACGCAAATGGTATACATATATAGATAAGTAGAGAGGAGCGGACTGTCGTGAGGCGTTCATCATTGTGAGTTTTGTTCAGAATTTGACAATTCGCAATTCGTTATTCTGTGTATATTCTGTGGTATCTTTTGTATGTTGTGTATGACAAGGAGGCGCACGAAAATTGCCTTTCAGCTTACAGTGACTCAGGAGGATAATATATAGATATATACGTGTTTATGTATCTATATATAAATACATATATACAAAAGCACTATATAGTTCAGTGTTCGAACAGTCTCATGTGGAGCAAAATATCTGGGTTCGTTATCCAGACAACTTTTCTGAATATACGACACTAAGAATTTTAAGTAAAAAATATCTCTGAAATACATATTTAAATGTATAGATATATATATACTATATATATAATATATTATACACACAATACAATACGTATACAACTATACTTACATACGTACACGTATATGAATGTGTATACATTAAATATATGTGTAGCAGAGATATTTTATATATATACATTTAGTTACCTTGAGATTAAATTTATCTTTCGCAGACTTTGTTTGTCAGAGATATGTGTACATGAATATATATATATGTATATATATATTCATATGCGCAAAAACATATATGGTATGTATATACTACAAATAGTACTAAATGGGAGAAGATATTAAGTGAAAGGCATTTTTCAGCGTGTCGCGTTAAATTTAAAGAAGGGAAAAAGTAAGATGTATATCGAATCTTTTGGGTTCTTGAGTGATATATTGTATGATCTGTTGTTTTGTTTAATAATTGTTCGTTTGACGAAAGTTCGTAGATCCTTTTCTGTATTTTGAAGTGGAGGAACTGCAGAAAAATGCGGCGATGCAACGGGATTATAACGATGTGCGGTTAGTTTATATATTACAGTTATATGCCGGACGCGTACTCACAAATTGTTTTTATCTTCTTTTTTTCACGTTGCAATTATTGATTAGAGTTTACGCCGCTCTCTAAATTGGACGTGTGATCTTAGAATTTTATTTATCATTATTTATCGGATTATATTATAAATTATTGATTGAATTTGAACACTGGAGTTATATATTCTGCGTTAATTTTGAGCCTCATCATTTTGTTGTGTATACTTGATATATGTTGCAGAGATGTGTAAATACATTCTTTCTTTATCATTTTTTTTTTATCGACAGAATCGCGTGCGCAAGTGCTCTCGGCCGCATTCTTCATCTCTCTTCCGAGGGAGAATGAAACGAAACTCTCGGAGGTATAAATTTATCATCGTCCGTGCGGAGCCGGTTTTTCCCCCGAATACGCGAGGGGAGCATTTTTCTGCGATTTCTACTCTCTCACATATACAGCGAGAGAAGGAACTTCTCCGTCACAGCATAAACTGTCACTGTTGCTATCTATTCTGCGATTCAACGAGACTTGCTTAAATCTAATAACATTAATATTACATTAATAATAATTTGTTGAATATTGTATAAAATTTTTTTGTTGAAAAATTTTGTAATTCATTTACTATTAGGTACAACAAGATGATCTGCGATATGCGATACGCTTCTGCGACAAACTCCAGAAATATCAGATGTTGTTGACGCAGCAAAAGTGCCTCGAGAACATGATAAGTATTCCGTAATATCGTAATTAGAATGACAAAATCGCAGAAGGCTATTTCTGTCGGGCAGAATCGGCGTCTTCCTAGGCAAGTCTTTTCGCTATCCGTAATATAACAACTAACGAAACTCGCCGGCGACAGTGACAAATTCAGCCGTGTCGGCGATTTCTTTTTCTCCGTGCAGTTTCCCCAAGTATGTATGTTGAGTAATGTTTTGAACACATTGTTTTTGCGCAGCAGCCGTGTATATATGTATGTACGTTGTAGGACGAGGCAGTAACCAAGCGGCGAGCGATTCGTGGACTCGTATAATAACTTCCCGACTGCTTCCACACTCCGCCTGCTCGAGCGTACGCGTTTTACGGCTTACACCCTCGTGACCTAAAACTCCAAAAAAAAAAATGGGAAAAACGAGGAGAGAAAGGATGAACACATACAGACATACTAGACGCGAGAGATAGGTAAAAATAGGTTTGCACAAAGAACTTCCACACACATACACGCACACATACACACATAATATATATACACACACGGTGGGTCGAGACTTTCATATTCGGCTGCGGTACGATTCCAGTGTTTCGCTGTTTCTAGTTGTTGAATGTATTAGAGATAAGACTCGATCACAGCAATAGAGCAAAACCCCATCCCACCCTTCCAGTTGTGTTTGTCATTTTCACAGTTCCGCGCGTAAGATCCGCTGACGCTAAATAGAGCTTTATCGCACGTTCCCACCAAAGTGATTGTCGTTCCACGATATTGCGAAATCTTTAGAGTGAGAAGGGCGCATCTTGTAATAGAAAAGAAAAAGAAAGAAAAGAAAGGCAGAATACAAAACCGTTTGGTATCGTGACCGACAAGAGGGTTTTAGACGTAAAAAAAAAAAAAACTCGACAAGTGCGATACAATATAGCAATTACGTTGATTGTGCGTGCCGGATTGTTGAGCTAATCGGCTTAGTCGCGAGCAATAAGCGCGTTTCGCATGAAGTCTCGGAATGTTGTACGATAAAGCGTCAATTGTTTGGACGCCGATTATCCTGATTATTGAATCTCTTGGACAACCGCAATAAAATACAGGGAAACGTTATCGTACTCATCGAAATGCTTTCTTTTTTTATATTTTTTATATGAAATATTTTTTGTGAAAATTTATATGAATATTTTTTATATTTATATTATGATTTTTTGCTGTTGATATCGTACGTTGTTTATGTTTTTCTTCACATGAAAATTTTGTATAGATAATCAATAACAGTTATAATATCGATAACAGTTATAAGTTCTCTCTCTCTCTCTCTCTCTCTCTCTCTCTCTCTCTCTCTTTCTCTCTCTCTCTCTCTCTCATTTTACATCTGGATAATCGACGTCCCGTCGTGTACAGGATGCCTGACTTGAACGATTTCGAAATAATTTCAAAAATACGAAAAGGAGAGACAATTATTTATTTCGAGAATTAAAACAAGTTAGTTATTTCGATAAATACATCATGTCAACAAACATACGATGTATTTATCAGTATTCTGCAAAACAAAA